TCAAAATTCATTTTTAAAAGCAACGACAAACCCATAGGCAAAAAAAAAAAAAAAACAACTCACAATATTCTTTATTCTCTCATCCAAAGGAATTATAATTTCATGTTAACTAAAAACAATCAAGTTAATCATTTAGTTGGCTTTAGGAGCCTTCATTACTTACTCTTTCATGTTATCTTTGCCCCATTAATTGGCTCTGGATCTGTAGAAGGCCTCTGCAGAGTGTATTGTACCTGTGTCCACCTCTTGGTGGTATCTGAGCAGACAGCACATCCCCTGAAATGCTATAAACTCCTCTCCTGGAGGAAGAGGTCACCTGTTTGTCTTCATGTTTAGTACCTGTTCTGTCAATGTTAATAGGTTAGAATTATAAACCTTTAACGAGGATCCAGTACATTTTGAAAGGTAGCAACTCGGATAACACTCGGAGAAGACTGTTCTTGTCCTTAGTACTTCAGGTCATAGGATGACAGGTGAGGGAGCCTGTCACATATGGACAATTAAATAATACTTCTTTGATGTATTATTTAATTGTCCATATGTGTATATTTCTTGCTGATTGCTTGGGATGAGCTTGATTGTACTGAATCACTATTATCAATTCCTCTTGTTTAATAATCTGCATTTTTATATGCTGAAAAGGTGAAGAGGGCTATAGGAGAGATATAAATAACACTGAATCCCAACATAATGTAAGTTTAATATACATTTTGTGAAGCCTGAAGATTATTATAAAGTCAGGTAAGTGTTAATCATCTGCTGGGTGTTCAGAGCTGTGTTCAAAAGAAATATAACACATATTTTGTCCCCTTGAGGCTTTTTGTGAGCAAATTATGGGAAGTGTACCATATTGCACTTATAATAATTAGAACCCAGTGTGAAACAATACTTCTTAATTTGCTGAAATTTGCAATAGATAGATTGTAGCAACCCAGCAGGGAGGAAGAATCACCATGATTGGACATTTGTTAAGTGTCAGGCATGTAGTGCTAGATAAATCTTATTTTTGTGTAACTATCAGAAACTCTCATGGAATAGCTAATTATCCCATCATACAGAAGAGAAAACTGAAGCTCATGAAGTTTAAGCCACCTGCTCAGTGTGGCCAAGAGTCAAACCCTGATTTACATTGATCTCACAAGTTTATAAATTATTTTCCCACCTTTTCTAGACCATTCAGTGTAATGAGTGAGTGTTCATGGGTTAGGATAGGTCTGTAACAGTGGGCCTCCAGGGAGAGAGATGGTGAAACAAGGTGATAATTCAAGTCGAATGAAGAGGCTCTTTGAAGAGTTGTGGCAGCAGTAAGGGAATTAGCACTGGAGATGAGGCACTCCGGGGAAGGTTACCGCCTCCAGGATGGAAGAGACTCTGGGAGGGAATGGCCTGGCAAAAATGCAGTGTATCTGTGGGAGAAGATTCCACCAGAAGCTGTGGCCAAGATACAGGATCCTTTGCTAAACTGTATCAGATGGTCAGAATGGAGCATAAGAGTAGAGGGAAAAACCCAGACCTCTGTCTCCTCTGAGCTACCCAGTCAGATGCAAAGGCTCACAGGTGATCCAGTTCATCAGGAACTGAGCAGGGAAATAGAAATGGAAAGTTCATCTGAGGGAGCCAGAGAAGGGCCTGTCCATGTTATCCCCATAGCATGGACACAGCCATAGCTTGAGGAGCTTGGCACTGCTCCTTTTGAACCTGTGCACATCAGACTCACCAGCCGGTGGTCTGACACAGGACCACTCTATGGGAGATGACAAACTGGCACATTGGAAACCATCAAGTAAAATGATCTGATCTTAATGTGATGCTCAATGATGAACCAATTTTGTTTCACAGTGGTCAATGTTAATGTTAAATGTGTTTTATAAGCCAAAGATATAGACATGTCTAGAAGAATGATGTAGGAAGGAAGGCAAGTGTAAAAAAGACCTAACATGGATGTTTGTCCATTCAAAATGTTCATCAACCAGGCATAGTCCACCTGTGGAAGCTGTAAGCTTTGCAAATGTGTGTGCAGGTTGCCTTGTGGAGTTCATTTGGCTCTTTCTGTGTTCCAGTGACCTATGGCATGATGAGCTCCAATGTATACTACTATACCCGGATAATGTCGCAGCTCTTCCTAGACACCCCATTGTCTAAAACAGAGAAAACGAACTTTAAAACTCTTTCTTCAATGGAGGACTTCTGGAAGGTATTTTCAAATAACTTTGAAAGTACATATTTATGCCTTAACTTTGTTTATTTGGCCTCAGAATTTCACTGCATGTGTTTCTTCAGGGCCTGCTGAGTGTTTACTACTTTGTGAGATGTTGTAAGTCATGGTGAGTTCTTCAAATCTACTGCTGCTACCTTCAAAGAAGGATAAAGTTAAGATTTATTGAGATCTTTGCAGATGCCTTATGCCACACTGGGTATTTCATACCTTCCCCATTTAATCCCCATGGTAATTTACAAGATCAATACTGCTGCTGTCCCCAGTTTGCAAATGAGATTCAGGTGTTTAAATGTGCAAGGTCACTTGGCTGGGGAATAAGAGACTTGTTCCTACTATGACAGCCACTTTTCTGCGCCAGTTTATTATTCATTCAGCCATTCATGGTTCAGTAAACATTGAGAATCAGGAGAGCATTTTGGTTGCTCTGTGTTGCTTGGATTTTGTGTTTTGTCTTTGTTGGTGATGACATGTATCCCCAGCTCTTGGGATGATGTTTAATACAAGGGAAGCATATTCTTTCAAAGGTTTGCCAATGTAAAATTCCACCCAGCCCCTTTCCCAGTGTCACAAATTCAACCATAGTAGCAGAGGATAAGCAAAAAGTTATATAGAACATATTTTAAGCCAATCTGGGCAATACGGTGCTCAGTGTCTAAGAAAATCTGATGGAAATGGAAAGAAAATGATTGATTCTCCATGATGATATACTTTGTAAAATTCTGACTAACCTTGGGTAAAAACTGTTGATTTTAAGCATAAAAAAAAACTGAGTCATGGGAATCTATTAATAAATAACAGTACTTGGCATCAAAAGCACATTTGTATAATATTAACATTTGCCCCCTCAGTGGAACTGGTTGCTATCTCTGCTGATCATCTGATAAAGATTATACGCTGAGAAGTGGCTAGATCTCTCTTCCCTTAGGGTGTAGCTCCTTGTACAAACTAACAAGAGATTTCTCATACATATACAATTCTGTGATAATAAATTCCAAGCTCTAAAGAGGAGGAGATATGTTGAAAGGCTCCAGTAGAGCAGGAGTCCAGACATTAAAAAAAAAAAAAAAAATCCACCAGATGATAGGCTGACAATTGACACTCTTACCTTTTAGCTCAGAGCAATGATTATGTGGAATGCTGTTTTCATAATGCTGTGGACTCACACAACACTCTCACCTGACTGCCTTTAGTCCCAGAACAGAAATCAGAGTGGCCACTTATTAAGCACCCATCCTGTGCCAAGTGTACTGACAACAGAACCCCCTCTTACTGCTCTACCTTGTTCAGAGTAGCCAAAGCCCTGGTAATGCAAATATTTCAGGCAGAGGCAAGACAGTGACTTGGAGATTTTTTTTTAAAAAAATCATGCCATTGTGCTAGGGATGTGGCTCAGTGGAAGGGTGCTTGGCTGGCATTTGTGAAGTTCTGGGTGTGATCTAGCACCAAATAATTATAAAAATAAATAAATAAATAATGATGAAAAAAGGCAAAAGAAGAAAAAAAAAAGTTGTCTTTGCTTTTAGTTTGCAGAAGGCCCCTTACTGGATGGGCTGTACTGGAAGGTGCAGCCCAGCAACCAAACAGAAGCTGACAACCGAAGTTTCATTTTCTACGAGAATCTGCTGTTAGGGGTTCCACGCATACGACAAGTCAAAGTCAGAAATGGATCCTGTTCCATCCCCCAGGATTTGAGAGAGGAAATTAAAGAGTGCTATGATGTTTACTCTGTCAGTAGCGAAGACAGGGCTCCATTTGGGCCACGAAATGGAACTGCGTAAGTATCTGGGACTGTGGCCACTAAGTGACATTGACTCATTGACTCATTCTCTGACCTCCCACTGACATTCCATCATTTATTCTCTGATGGTTTTAACAATTAGAAGATGCCTTCAGTGAGTCTTCAAAGCTTGTTTTAAAGCTTGGGCCAAACTGACATCTAGTGTCTTAAGTTCTCTCTACTTTTCAATTCCCTTCTAGTTTCTCTATGCATATTTCCAAAAGGCTAAATTGTTGATT